CACCAAGGGGATTCAAGGACGACTGACAGCAAAACAATTATTTATTCGAATGGAAAATTTAAGATCATACTCCTCCCTACACCCAGCTCTCAGCCTCCTTCATGGGTTTTCATCCCAAGGAGGGGAGGGCTGCGTGCAGAGCCTCGAGGTAGCTCTTCACTCCCTCGTGCTGCGACACGAAGTGCTCTGGTAGTTTGCGGGTAACGACGAGCATGTGCGGGAAGACGGCGAGGTCGGCGATGCTGGGTGCCGCACCGCCCTGCGCGGCCCGAGTCAGTGAGGGAAGTTGAATTGAGAGGAGGAAGAGGGGGAGACGAGGAAGGAGGGGGGAGGGGGGAGGAGGGAGGAGGGAGGAGCGATGAGGAGCGATGATGAGGGAGGAGGGAGGAGGAGCAGGAGCAGGAGGAGCAGCGAGGAGCAGCGAGGAGGGAGGGAGGTGGAAGGTGGGAGAACGTACCAGCAGGGGTCCTTCCCCACTCTGGATCAGATGATTCAATGCAGGCCACACGTCGCTGAGGAACTTTTCTTCGTCCTGCTTCACAGCTTCTGCCGCCCGCTCTTCTCCCTTCTTGTAGCTCTCCAGCGCAGCTGCCATCATTGGCATCAGCACGTTCCCGTTGAACTCGAGCGCATTGTCGCAGATCGCTCTCTTCTGGACATCGGCAGGGTACCAGCCAGTCAGCTCCTCCTTGGTGCAGATGTAGCGCAGAGCAGCGTTGGCTTCCCTGAGGAAAGCAAGTCAGGAGGAGGAGGCGGAAAGGGGAGAGACGGAAGCACCACAAGTGAAGCCCTCCGTCATCGAGGTAGACGGGCATCTTTCTCTGCTCCATGCGCTCAGCAAGACTCTCCTCTCCTCTCCTCTCCTCTCCTCTCCTCTCCTCTCCTCTCCTTTCCTTACCTCAGGTTCAGCGATGCTTTCCTTCTTCAAGTCGTGCGGGATCTTATTCTCCCTCAAAAGCACGAGGACGCTCAATCCGGACAGCTCCTCAACAGAGGTGAGAGGGCAGTAGAGCTGTACTGCTGATCCTCCTTCCGCAGGTGGAACGGGAAGGAGGATGGGGTTGAAACTGATCATTTTCTCCCCTTCGGCAGGAGCTTCGCCTCCCGTTTGTTCTTTCTCCTCCTCACCTTCAGCCATGGGATTCTTTGCCCACACCAGGTTGGGACGCTCTCGATGCTCCGTCACCTCCTCAGTTGGAACTGGCAATGGCTCGAATTCATTCTTCGCGTTCCCTTGCGTCTCCTTCTCTTTCTCCTCCTTCTCCTTCTCCTGCTCCTTTTCTCTTCCTTCTCCTTCTCCTTCTCCTTCTCCTCCTCCTTCTCTTTCTTCTCCAATGCTTCCACCACCTTTGGTTGCTCCTCCACAGGTTTCTCAACAGGCGTGGGAGTTTCCTCCTTCTTTGGTGGTGCGCTGCTTGTCTGCGCGGGTTTTGCATCTGCTACAGGAGGTTTCACAGGCTCCTGTACAGCCTTCGCGTTCGAAGAAGATGAGCATCCCATCTGAACAAAACTTCAGCCCGAGGGGAACAAGTTGTCAACAGGAGGATCAGGTGAAGAGGCAGGGAAAGAAAAGTAGGAGGCAACAATTGTGAGTTGATTGAGGGTAAAGCAGGGGACGGAAATGCCGGATAAGGCTCGTGGAGCAGGTTCAGTGCTCAGTGCTCTCCAACAGATGCAAGGGCAGATAGGGGGGAGGACAGGAGAGATTAGCAATAGAAATAAAGAGTTAAACAAGTACAAGGACGAGCAATGGACAAGACTGGGGGGCTGGTAGCAAGGGATTGAAATTTGAGGGATGAGGGCGAGTCGAGTCGTTGGGGAAGGTAGAGAAGTAGGATCAAGGAAGCAGATATGCAAGGACGGGAAAGATTGGGTCGGCTGAGAAGAAAGGACAAGGGAGAGGAGAAATTATGATCGCGATGGCAAGCATGCGAGAGCAGCGGGAGCGAAAGACAACATTCTTGGGCGGTTTCTGTTGCGAATTCTTGAATAGGGGGTAGGGGTGTTATAGACGGGGGTAGTCAACGGGAATGCTCCAAAATACCCATGGGGGTACTATGAATTTAACTTTTTAGATAGGGGTCACATGCAGAATTATGACAGGGGGTTATTTCGAAGGGGGTGGGGGTTACCTGCGGCCGGTACCAACACTGGGTGCCAACTTCCATGCCGACCTCCAACTTTCGTCCCTCATCCCCCCCACAACCCAGCAAGGAGTGACCCCTCGTCCCCACTCAGTCCAACCTCAGTTTGTGGGTCTGCAGGTGGGTCTGTCCGTGTAACGGGCGAATAGGAGAAATTATTAGTCAAATAGGATTAACTATTAGTTAAATAGGAGAAAGTTCTGAGGCGAGCCTGCTCAGTCCTTCTTGCTTCTCTTAACCCCCTCGAGCTCACCTCTCTCCCCACTGAGCCTGCTCCACTTACCCCGCTCCTCCCCGCTCCTCCCCGCTCCTCCCCGCTCCTCCCCGCTCCTCCCCGCTCCTCCCCGCTCCTCCCCGCTCCTCCCCGCTCCTCCCCGCTCCTCCCCGCTCCTCCCCGCTCCTCCCCGCTCCTCCCCGCTCCTCCCCGCTCCTCCCCACTCCTCCCTGCTCCTCCCCGCTCCTCCCCGCTCCTCCCTACTCCTCCCCGCTCCTCCCTGCTCCTCCCCGCTCCTCCCCGCTCCTCCCCGCTCCTCCCTGCTCCTCCCCGCTCCTCCCCGCTCCTACCCGCTCCTCCCCGCTCCTCCCCGCTCCTCTCTCCATTTCTTTCTCCCTCTACTGTCATTATCTCAACTTTTAGCTTTCCTCCCTCCCGCCCGCCACAAAAAACTTCTTCATCCTGGAACCTTCCATTCTTCTCCCTCCCTTCCGCTTGCGGATTCTTCTCCTCTCTTCTCCCTCCCCTCGCTCCCCTCACATTCTTCATTCCTATCCACCTTCCCTTCCCCCTCGGCTCGCGCTTCTCCTTCTTTTCATCAACGCATCTATCAATACACAGAGGATGAGGAAAAAGAGCTGAACCGTCAACAGATGGCTGAGCCTGTTGAGATACACATCGATGATAAAGTATTACCTCCTACCACCGATGGAACCGCAAGGTAACAGAAGTATGCTGATGTTTGATTTACCTGACCACGTGGCCCCAGACCTCCCACCCGCCTGAGCATCCAAGAGATCAACACCTTCCAAGCCGTAGAGAGCCTCGTAAAGCACTTGACTGACGAGCTCAACCTGTCGGTCAAGGTGTCGCATCCTTCCATGATGCGCTATCTCAACTGACAAGCATGTCCTGTACCAGGGCCTCAAGCTTTACAATGCTATTACCCTCATGGAAGTCTCTTCGCTCCAGTTTGACTCCAATGCCGGACCGTACAAACTTCTGCTGCTGCCCGCTAAAGGTGAATGCCGGAGCTGAGACATGTCAAGAACTGATGTGATCATTGGCAGACACCCTCTCTACCTTCAAGTGTGTCACAGTGGAAGATACCACACCTGATAAAGGGCGCATGTTAGAAAGTTCGACCAGTAATTACTCTTTCTTGACAGCGATCGGGGAGCTTTTTGATAACTCGATACAACATGTACTCTGCAACCAATACGACAAGAACAAAACTATCAGAGTTACACTCAACTTCCAAAGGGGCACTTTTCATCTTGTGGACAATGGAATAGGCTGCTCAGACCCCAAGGAAATGCTTCAGTATGGGTCAAAGCGAGCATCTACGCAGGAGCTGTACGACGAGGGTTGCACATCGTTCAGGAGATATCTGAGCGGTACCTTCTCTCGATATGGCGTGGGGGCCAAAAATGCTTGTAATGCCCTTGGGACAAGACATGTTGTGAGCAGTAAGACGCGAGACAGCAGAACTGTGCAAGTAGTGGAAGACTCAACCTTATCGGCTTGGAAAGCAATTAGATGCATCAGGTCTCTCCAGGAGGGCGAAGACGTCGCGTCGAGCTTCTGCAAGATCGACATAGAAGGCTTCAAGATTGATTTCTTTACCAGCGATGGAGCTTTCTCTGCGGCAGCTCTCAGGCACTGCCTGAGCAACATCCGAGCGATGTACTACATGTACCTTGAAGGAGAGCAGGCAGGCGCGAAGAGGTTTGTAGACCAGGTGCTGAGGCTGATAGATCAGCCGATTGTAGATGGGAAGCGAACGGGTCGTAAACCACAGAGGGAACACAGGTTTCATGAAGATATGAGCCGCTTGAAGAAGTTGCTGAAGCAATGTAGAGACCAGTCTGGCTCTATGTCGGAGCAGATTGACCTGGAGTTCGAGGTGATCCATCAAGGCTCTGCTAGCTCGGCCCCTCCGCATCGACTTGCAGACTCGACGTGCTGCCTTGACCGAGTGCTGAGCGACGACGCCAAGGACTGCTTCCCCATCTACGTCGAGATCCCCGACCATGCAGACCCCACCAAGCGCTCGATCGCGACGGGGGCGATATTCTATTTCCCGAACCAGGGCAACAAGGACACAGTCCCGTACGTTGACGAGCTGCATGGGCACTCAACCTCGTTGGATCGCCGCTTCATGGTGTTCTGGATGGGACGATGGCTTCCAGGGGAGCAGTATGTTCCTGGCTTCATGAGATACCGTGAGGAAGAGAAGACGCTTGCTCCGCAGCGATGCTATGCAAGGACTTTCGGCATTCTCTTTGTAGACCGAGGGATCGAGCCAGAGGCAAGCAAATGGTCATTCAACATGGGCAAAACCAAAATGAGAAAATTACAAGATGCACTTGACTCGAAGGACCTTGCAAAAGCATACGATTTCTGGCTCAAAGAATGTCACCTCAAGTTTGATGCAGAGGTCTCCTTCGAAGACGAAAACCCAAAGTACATAGATGCTGAAGGAATGTCTCAGCACGACAAGATCATATTCTGCGACAATGAGTATAAGGTGGGTGAATTTGTCGAGCTGTACAAAGAAACAAAGGAGAGAGCAAAGATTGAAAGTCATATAGGAAGGATCGAGAGGTTCTTGCAAGATAAGCACTTTGACTTGAACTTGCCGTCAGGGGAGGTCGAGCTTCTTCTATTGGCTTCAGACAACAGCATGACGAAGCATAATCGCTTCAGAATACAAAACTACTCCATGAGGCCCCTCAGCAACAAAGAGTTCGAGGCTACCAGAGCAAAGAATGAGAAGCAGATAGTCAGATCAGTCGCTATCGAGTTCCGCAACCACATCGTGAAGGCTGGCATGTTACCGCTTACAAGGGTTGTCTGCAAGAACTCAAACAACGAAGTCATTCAAACAAACATCCCGATCTTCAAGGTCACAGTGGCGTCACAAGATTGCTCAGAAAGCTTCGAAGTGTCCAATGGGCATCTGTCGTATCCTGATAAGATAGTGAAGAAGCTCGCGACTGTCGCAGGCCGGTATACGATATCCCTTGAGCCAGCTGCAGGTCAGACGCCGCTCACGTGCGAGCCCGCGACGTTCTACATCACCCCAGCAGAGATGCACAAGGTATCGCTCAGACCAGACACTCCGATCATCCAATGTGAGCTCGGGCAAACGACCTCCTTAGAAGTACAGGTGCACGACAAATACAACAATAGCATCGATCTCCAACTCGGCGTCCACACGCTTGACATTCTGGTAGACGAGGCTCGGGCTCTAGATGTCTCGCTATCCTTCACGCCTGAGTACGCTGGGAGCATCAGGATCCAAGACCTCTGCGTGCTTCATGGGGGCGTCGGGACGTATCCTGCTCGCATAGTCATCACAGACATTCATCAGCAGAAGGTCGTTGAGCACAATATCTCGATCAAAGTCCAGCATGGGCAGCCATCGTGTATACAGTGCGACGCTGACTGGGAGGAGTATATCAACTACCAACAGCTCGGGCCAGTCGACGTCAGCATTCAAGACGCGAGCGGAAACATGTGCGACGGAAACCAAGGCAAGCTCGTGGTGATGAGCCCGGACCTCCTGCTTCACGGCGATAGCCAGTCGGATGAAAACAAGATACGGAAAGGGAGATGTCGCCTGACCTGCTCGTGTGCGAGCTCTTTGTTCTCGAATGATACGGCAACAGCTCAGACGGTAGTTAGTGAAGCAGACATGGGTCGATGGAGAGAAATGATACTCAAGCAAGGCGCACCGGTCGGGGTATTTCACAGGGAGCATGGCTTTTTCCAAACAGGAGATTGTGTCATTTTGAATTCTGGTGCAGAAATTTCAGTAGGAGATTCCCGACGATCGCGGCAGAAGGTTAGAAAATTCGGAAGGGTCAAGTCTATTCTCAATCATGTACATGAAACTGGAATCTTGGTTGAATATTTCTCGGAGACCAGTGATCATCCTCGCTTACTTTTACAAATGGATTCAGTGGCCGGTGATCTCGTCAAGCTGTCAGACATCTCGGGTCGTTGCCTTGTGTTTCACGATTCCCTCAGGCACACTTTGGATCTTGATGTGATGGCAGACAATGTGTTCTTCTGCAACTCCGACGAGTTTCCCCGGAGCCTTCAAGCGACTTTAGATGTCATCCACGAGACCGAGACGACGATCTTGCATCAGAGGTTCTCACGTCCCCTGAAGCCGAGCGGAACTCCGAGGCGCATGAAGCTCTTCCAATCAGGAGTCGAGTTGGCTCTCAACAATGCAGCAGTGTCGTTCAACGCACGGCACAACGACAAGATCTCAGACTTGTACCTTGTGGCTGCTGACGAGACAAACCAGCCCTGCCAGCACTTTGCGGACGGCAGGTCAAACTTGAAAGTAGAAATGAGCTGGATGAATGCACAGCTGCCAGTCTATGAAGCCGGTCGGGATCAAGTCTTTGCGCTGCCTCCGTTGTACGTACGATCTAATTCCAAGCAGACCATCTCGGTCTTCTCCTGTGCAGGCTCGAAGCAGACGAAGAAAGAGGAGACGCGACTGTTTCAGTACCAACTTGATGTCCTGGTGACCCCCGGAGAGCCTGAGAAGCTGAAGATTTCTCTACCACAAGGCATCTCTGATATCAAAGCAGGAGACTTGTTCACGTTGGAAGGAGTCATAGTGGATCGAGATGGATATGTGGTTTTCCCGCCCATCCAACCTTCTTTGGATGATGAGTTTGCCTTCAGTTTCACGTGCGAAGATGGGTTTGAGGTTCCGGTCACTTTATATGACAACTACCGCAAAGTGGTAGAAGGCAAAGATGCCCTTGGGAACATCACGATCAAAGGCTCTAAGATCACTGTAAGGAATGCTTTCATTCGCTGTAAACCCTCCAAGGGCACTCTCAAGCTTGGGCTGAAGCTCAACGTGAAAACAGGTATAGGTGGCACAAAGTCTTACAACTTGAAGCCCATCGAGCTGGACTTGGACCTGATAGCTGGTGATCCGTGCAAGATATGCGTACAGCCAGACTGCCAAGCGTTCGTCAACCTCTCAGTCCCCAGCATGGCGGAGTACGAATGTGACATCAGGTTCATCGTTACAGACAGTGTGGACAACAACTTGTCAGCTGCATGGGATCAGCCGCTGATGCTGCAGGTAGGCAAACAGAGCAGGGAGCTTGAGAAAGTATCAGATGAGTCAAGGGGGGATGCTTTCAAGCTCAGCACAATTCCAGCCCTTCCAGCAGGAGAGTATTTTCCTAAAATCTTGTCAAAACGAGTACAGATGTTCACCTTCAATGTCATCGCAACTGCTAGGAACTCCGTCATTCAGATCGCGATGACGGTGAAAGACCGACAGAAACATCTTGAGTACGCACAAGGCTCAGCTCTTGCAGCAGCAGACTTCGAAGCTTTGATCCAACTCCACACCGAAGACCAAAGAAAGCTCGACGACTGGTCTACGAGTACCATGCCGGATGTGAGGCTGTACCGTGAAAAGCAGATGATACCCATGTCGTACAAGAACTTCGACGGCAACTGCGTACACGTCACCTTCTCTCTCAGCGAGATCGGGAGTCATCAGGTCTCGGCTGAGTTTGTCGACTCGAGACCCTCGTATGCAGGACCTCCGATCGCTTCCAAGCCTTGTAACGTGGAGGTGAAGTCAGGTAAGAGACACTGTCTGCTTGACATGATTGTCCGCTTGTATCTCACGCCATTGCTACAGGACCTGTAGAGCAGCTGGACTTGCAGCTTCATGCTCCTGCGACTGACGACCCTCTTCAGTGTGGCTTCACGCTCGCTGCATGTGACCGGGCGTCTCGAAAGACAAACTATCATCCCACGAGCGAGTGGGAGGCTACAGTGGTGGCACGGGTGCTGGAGGACCATCTCGTCCGGATAGAGACCAATGCGGTAACCCTCAACGCTCGTCATCCCACGGTCAAAGGAACCTTCACGCTCGTGCCTCAGAGACAAGAGCAGCAGGAGTTATGCGCTTGTACGCTTGTGTTTAACGTGCAGAGCAACATTGCCATAAGGTCGTTGGATCAGCGAACGATGAACGTGACGCTTCCTGCTGCATCTGCTGGCGTGCACGATGACACTGCAATCAATGACAACGAGAACGAGGAGGTGCAGGAGGCGAGCAGAGCCAACATCGCCTTCGAGGAACAGCCGGTGATTATCGAAGACGACACAGAAGAAGAGGAGAAGCTCAGGGTCGAGGTACAAACATCCATATGCCATCAAAACATCGAGAACGCTATTGCAAGGCTCCTCAAGCGAGAGGGTGTCTCTCCTGCTATCCAATCTTACTACGTCGATATCGCAGCAACTTCGGACTTGGGGAAGCTGAAGCGAGACTGTGAGAGGTTTCAAACAGGCATCAGGAATCACAATGCAGAGCTGACCGAGCGGTTCAAGGACTTCAAGAACAAGTATGACGATCTTCAGTACAAGACGGAGGTCACAGATGTCAAGATTCCTGCGAGCTGCAAGGACGCTTTAGGGTGTATTTCCTCCTTGTTCTCCATCGACCATCCTCGGGCAGCAGACATTCAGACGGCCTTGTCGACAGCTTTCGGCGAGGACCTCAACTCCGTCATCTTTCAGAGCGATGGAGACTTGGATGAGCAGATGGACGGCATCTGCCGTCAGTCCAAGTGTCGAGTCAAGAGCGCTTGCCTGGTAGAGCAGGACAGGTTGCCCGAGGACGTCGAGGAGTCTCGCGGGGCCCTGGGACGAGCCGACAGCTTCATCGTCCTCAACAAGTCTCGTGATGCAGAGACAGACAGGAAGCTGCTCTCCTTCGCCGAGCGATTCTTCAGGAGGCTCGTCGTCTTCGAGCAGTCGGATGATGCCATCCGCTACCGCACGCGCTCCATGCTTCGAGGCGAGATGGTGGTGGGACTGGACCGACCGAACAAGGTCATTTCATGGGACGGGAGCCAGACGCTGCTGGACAAGCAAGTGAGGTGTGCAAGGATGGGCATCGTCGAGTACTGGAGAGCCAAAGCATATAAGGAGCTGCAACGGCAGAGAGATGAGCTTGACTCCATCGACAAGGAGCTCAAGGTAGGCCTCCTGACCTCCTGCTACCTCGTAGTCACGAGTGTGCCTTTGGCAGGAGATCATCAAGAACTGCCAGGAGCTTGAGGAGGAGGAGGATAGTCAGAGCACCCGTTTGACCAGGAGGAAGCGAGTGAAAAATCAAGAGGTGAGACTGGAGGTCATAGTCGAGAGATCTGACGGCCATGCCAGCAGCGACAGGAAGACGGGGAGGACGAGTTGAGGCCTCGCAAGCTCTTTCGTGAGAGTAGACATTGAATTCAGCGAGGAGAATTGAGGGCCATGAGAGGAAAGGAAAGGCAAACGATACGAGGGAGGCGAGTCTTGCAGTGACGTTGAACCTCAAGTAAGGATGGGGTCACGAGTTGGTGATGGCTGTGCGGATGTGATGTAATATTTGTCATGGGAAGTCAATATGCCGTCGATTAAGCTTCCTGTTGCATTTCCATGGATTCAAGACGCATGGAAGGTGTTGGTCAAGGCCTGTATCTTTGAGAACAAATTCAAGGCATGCCTACGTTATTGATTTCTTTCAGTGGTGATTGTATGTTTTTGTATATGATTTCTCTCTACACATTTTAGAAGCTCTGTGGTTGTGGTCGTTCTTTAGACTTACCAAGTGAGGTTTAAGAATCTTTATTGCAACATTCTTCATGAACGAGTATTTTCATCAACTTCACTACTTCCACTACTCCTACTCTCACCGAGAAGGCTTGACCCTGACCACTCCTACTTCCACGTCTCCTCCTACCACATCGTACTTTACTCTCGTCTCCTATCTGGTGCTGACTTGAGATCTTTCCTCGCATGTCTGCATGCGGAGGACGTGGGCTAGATCAGAGGGGAACCAGCAGGAGCACATTCCTTCCCCCTTGATTGATCAAAAACTGTCTCACCTCCCTCCAGTCGCCTCCCCCTCCTCCCCTGCGTCACTCTCATTCTGCATCGTCAGCGGCGCCGGTGCCGCATCCATCGCTTCCCACACGTCACAGCGGATCGATTCTGCGATGACCGACAGCGGGAGGGCCCACGTCCCCTGTAGCCTCGTCAACTTGAGCTGGGCAGCAGCAAGGGCATCACCTCGGTGGAGCGAGAGAAGGGGTTCTCGATGAGCAGACCGATCTCCTGCTCATGATCTCAGCGCAAGGAGGAGGGAGGGAGGGAGAGGAGGGAGAAGGAGAGGCGGGAGGAGGAAGACCTGAACTCCGTAGAGGCACCAGACTACACAGGCGACGGCAGGGACGGCAAGGAGGCCCATTTCCCCGATGAAGACCAGAGGGAGGGTGAGGCAGAAGAGTCCCATGAACCTGCCCGTGTGCCTCGCGTAGTGCAACGGGATTGGCGTCTGGACGATCCGCTCGCAGCCTCCGACGCACTTGCCGAGCTCGTTAATCATGCCGAGCACTGCCAGGCGTTCCCTCGAGGTCCAGCGGTCAGACTGGTAAGGGACGTCGTTGGTGATGACGGACGACATGGCCTGCACGATGTAGAGGGGCCGGTTGACCGCTTGCAGCACACCAGGCCGATCGAGGGGGTTGAGAAGGCGTGCGAGCTCTTCCTCCTGGTCAGGCCCCATGAAACCCTCAAGGTGATGCTTGAGGGCGACAGGAAAGGTACAGATCAGGTCCGCCATCCTCTCACACGTCTTCTCTCCTATGACGGGCCTGTATGCCACCAGCATTCTCGTGAGGTCCCTCGCCTTGTTCGTCAGCGTCTCCCACAAGCATCTTCCCTCCCAGAATCTCGTGTAGGCCGCGTTAGTGCGGAAGACGAGGAGCAGGGACATTGCGGATCCCACGATGGAGTGAGGACTCTTGCTAAAGTTCTTCAGGATCCTGACTTTGGCTACCTTGTCCGACCAGAGGTCCAGCAGGGCAAGGAGAAACGTCCAGCAGGTGGTCACCAGTACTGGAGATCTGATCCTGTGGAGGACAGTGGAACGCGGCCAGGTGAAGAGGATGTGGATCCAGTCGCCCGAGGAGTATCGCTTGGCCTGCGCATGCGAATGAGTGCAAGGCGGGGGGGAGGAGGAAGAGACCTTGGGGAACGTGTTTTCCCTGTAGGTGACTTCGTCGTGGAGGTGCCGCTTCACCTTGTTCCTCGGGGAGTTTCTCTTGCAGACCCTCCGCCACTGGGCGGCGGGTGAGAAGAGGCGGCAAGAGCGATAAAGTCACCAGCTCGACGAATGGGGACGCGATCCAAGGGAGACCGAGGCAGCCGACTGCTGCAGCATCGTTCGCTTCCTCTGCACCTGCGACATTATCACATCCCGTAGAAAGATTCGCTACCCCCTCACCGAGAGTCTGCACGACTGAGACGTTAGCATGTTCGTCGGTGTCCCCTTTTCCTGAAACAAAGGCTCATGACGATGAAACAAGGTCAGGAGGAGGAGAGGGGGAAGGAAGGAGAAAAAGAGCACAAGGAGCTATCTTTCATGCTATCAGCCATGAACATGGAATTACTTAACAATAATCGGGAGGATAAAGGCGGAGAAGGAAAGAAAACATCCAAGGCAGTACGAACAACAACAGTCACAAGCTCTCTGTGTCACCTTCATTGCCTCCTTGCATCTTGGACGTGAAGGGACCAGAAACCTTGACATCCACATCCTTCTTCGCAACCATCCCAACCTTGGTCCGTCTCACTTTCGAAGGATCTCCTGTGTTGTAATCATCTTCATCACATCCTGCCCTGCCTCTCACCCAGCTCTCGATGTAATTCGAACTGTTCGGCGTAAGACTTGGAGAAGAGCAGGTCAGAACCCTGACAAGAAACGCAGAATTCTTTCAACCTCCGCGATGAACTTCAAGTCATGCCATGACGGATGTCGAAGGGTGTTGCTGTGCTGCGGGCGACTGTAGCTGAAGAGAAAGTGTGAGGGAGCTAAGGGGGCAGGGTAACGTTTCCACCCGCTTCCTCGCTGGTTGATGAGGTTGAGGTGGCTCCTCCCAGTCTCCGACTGCCTCGCGTAGATGCTGGCGAGCTTCACAACCCTCAGCAAGGCCGGGGAAGGGGAGGATGCGGATACCGGCATGTCTTCTACAGAATCGCTGCACTGAATGGAAGGCGGCAAGCCGTTGACTTGTAAGATCATGACTGGGGGGAAACACTTGCGTTAGGGGAAGAGAGGCCTGTAGGTGAACTCACTGATCTTGAAGAAGACCAAGAATGTCCGAGTGAAGTATCGCCTCCTGGGTTCCATTTTGATGTCAGGGCGAGCTATACTGATCATCGAAATACATGAAAACTCACATGTTCTCCTCGAAACTCATGTGAGCCCTGTTGTATAGCAAGGTTGGTGGATCAAACTCTTGGAGCTTCTATAGACAAGGACGGTGAAGGATAGGGAAAAAGTGCCTACTAGCTCATGCGGCACTGATTCTTCCTTCAAGTTGCCAAGTGCTAAACCATTCTGCGCATTCATTGATCAGTGAGAGTTGCTTCCACCTTGTCCTCCTTCTCTCCTGTCCTGTCCTGTCCTGTCCTGTCCTGTCCTGTTCCTTGTGTCATCGTCGTATCCCTGTTCTCTCTTGTTCTCCTCCTTGTCCTCCTCATCAGGATCCTGGTCTCATCGCGCTCGCCAGCCTGGCTCGCAGCCCCCAGTAGGGGAATGCGAAATGATCTTATCGAATTCTCGAGTCCCGGAGTCCGGACCGGCCCGCCCGGCCCGCCCGGCGGCGCCGCCGCGGCGGGCGCCGGGCGGGGCCGCAGTGAGTTACTCGGCGAGTCACGGAGGGGTCAGTGAGCCGGGCCCCCGCTGCCGCCGGCCTCACAGTCGGATCCGGCGGAGCTGCGGCGGCCTGCCCCCTGAAAGATGGATAAAAAATTGGTGTAAACCGGGATGTCTCCCGGGCCGCGCCGCGCCGGGCCGACTCCAGTTGATCATGATGTATGGTTCGCGGGTGCATTCCGGTACGGTATGCGGCCACAGCGACTCGAGTCGCGCGGCTGGCATGGCGCGGCGGGCGGCGGCCGGGGGAATCGTCCTGCGCGCAGTTAAGTGAAGGTATCAGTTAAGTTTGTGGGACAGCACTGTTGGCAGGATTAGGAAGTTTGGTTCTCGCTGTCTTCTCTCTTCTTGACGCCGTTTGGCCTGTGCGACAGTGTCAGGGTCAAGCCTCCTCGACTCTCCTTATTCTCCTCGTACTGATTTTTAACTTAACTTTGAGGAAAGAGCTCGCTCTTGTTTGTTCAAGATGCAAATGCTGGTTCAACGGTTTGTAGCCTAGTAGTAAAGACCGAAACGCAACTTTTCGGGCCGGGCTGCCAGTCAATCGGAGGCGCCGCGCCGCGGCCTGGGGTCTCTACGGTCCGGTCCGGTCCGACACAGTTTACTCAAAGTTGAGTTAAAAATCAGTACCGTACGAGGACCGTTGAATCGGCGGATTATCAGGATAACGGCGAGAAGAGAAAAGACAGCGAGATTGCGCAGTGGTCAATACGAGTCACTGAGCCTAGTAGTAAAGAACGAAACGCAACTTTTCGGGCCGGACTGCCAGTCAAAACTAAATTTGTGCGTGACCTTCTGACTTGAATCTGCTGCACCACTTGTCGATGCCTGTACATTGCATGATGATAAAGGATATCAAGCTTCATGTTCATTTGAAGAGTGCTTTGAATCATTTGATATTGTGGTTGTCTTTGTTTGAATGAGTGGTTTCAATCACTTGATATTGTTTTTATCTTTGTTTGAATGAAACATCACGCTCTATGTCCTTACTTGACTCTATCCCTGTAGACCATGATCGACCGACGTGCACCGAGCACCAGCAAGTATGACAGACCCTTGCTCTCTCCTAGTCCTCTTCCGACCTCATGTACCACTCGATCCACCCCGCCTCAAGCGGACACTCGTCCTCCTCCCAGCCCCACGCTTCTCCCTCTTGCGCTCCCGTTGGGTCCAGGCCCTCGCTGCTGCTCCCGCAGTCGGTGATGTGCTCTTCTGGGATGGCGGAGGTCAGAACCGCAGCGTATGCTGATGGCGGGGAGGTTGGCGGCGGGGTCGTCGCTTGTCGAGACCTCGAGTAGGGCCATTTCGTGATACCCGCGCGTCTGCATACGTTCTTCATGGCGGTGAGAGAGATACCGAGCATCTTAGCAGCCTCGCTCTCCTTGTAGCAGAAGAGGGTCTGGAGCTTGGAGGGATGGATGATGATGCAGTTCTTACGGATGGCTCTGTTCTTCTTGGGAGTTGCCGCAGTGGAAGAGTTGTGCATGATTCCAAGCAGGGAAGGAGTAGAAGAGGACGCGTAAGGGATTGAGGAGGAGGGGAGAGGGGAGGGAGAGGGAGGAGGGGGAGAAGAAGAAGTGAAGGAGTATGAGCTAGCGTGGAACTGCTAGTGGTCTTGGAGTGGTGGAGGGATGAAGGGGAGCGAGGGAGGTTTAATCGGGCAGATTCCGATCCGATCATATCAGGTCCTAGTCTTCCTAGCACCTTGTACCTAGTACCATATACGGATAGCTCCGCAAAGAAGTACATCTCAGTCATTCATTTGAGTAAAATATTGTACCAGATACGACGGTCAACCAAGGAGTCGCGATCAGTGCCGGCAGGATCAAATGCATTGAGCTAAACCCCTCAAACTAAAAGACCCCCAGTCACGTCTAAAAACCTGGTGCAAGCGACTGATAAACTCGTACTGATTTTAACTTAACTTTGAGTAAAGGCCTGCGAAGATAGACGAACAAGTACTCGTTTACTCAAAGTTAAGTTAAAGATCAGTACAGGCCTGATAGCAGACAGCCTCCTCTGTGTCTACATATGATGACGCGAAGCTGTAGTAGACTTGAAGAGAGACCCACCCATTGTGATCCCTGATGCCAGTGAGTTGTAGGGGAGGGTAGAGACGAAGACAAGATAAGAGGGTTAGCTGATGCAGGAAAGAATAAGGTCTCTTCACTCCTTAAGCACCTTGAGAGAAGTGAATCAGCACGAGGAGCACGGAAGTGCAGACTATGATTTGAGGATGCTGGTGGTGGTGTTGCTGCTACTGCTACAAAAGTTGGCTTTGGTATGCTTGTGATCGTTGACATTCCACGCTCAGAGTAAGTTGTTTCGCTCAGAGTAAGTTGTTTCGCTCAGAGTAAGTTGTTTCGCTCAGAGTAAGTTGTTTCGCTCAGAGTAAGTTGTTTCGCTCAGAGTAAGTTGTTTCGCTCAGAGTAAGTTGTTTCGCTCAGAGTAAGTTGTTTCGCTCAGAGTAAGTTGTTTCGCTCAGAGTAAGTTGTTTCGCTCAGAGTAAGTTGTTTCGCTCAGAGTAAGTTGTTTCGCTCTTCTCCCGCCCTCGTGTTTCTCATCAAGCCGAAGCAATCCTTTGGAAAACAGCCTAGCCTCAAACGTGGGTGGATGCTTTCATGCGTAGCCTTCACTCATTTTTGCCACAGCTAATCGAGTTTGATGTTTTATTCGAAGAAGAAAGCGCCGCGTTGTACATGCTTCTGGGTTCCGACAAGAAGCCCGTAGACCATGATCGACCGACGTGCACCAAGCACCAGCAAGTATGACAGACCCCTTCTCTCTCCTAGTCCTCTTCCGACCTCATGTACCACTCGATCCACCCCGCCTCAAGCGGACACTCGTCCTCCTCCCAGCCCCACACTTCTCCCTCTTGCGCTCCCGTTGGGTCCAGGCCCTCGCTGCTGCTCCCGCAGTCGGTGATGTGCTCTTCTGGGATGGCGGAGGTCAGAACCGCAGCGTATGCTGATGCCTGTTTTCCTCTTTCAACCTCACTGCCTTTGTCTGATCTTGCATGTACTTTGATGTTAAAGAGCAAACTCTTGTGGCCACAGCTCCTGTCCCTGCTGCCGGCTGTGCTAAAATCCTCGATGAGCTGGAGACACGACAAGCTCTTTCATCTCCTGTTGTTGCAAGGAACGAGTGAATCAGCTGCATATAAGAAAGGAGACATGAACTACCTGCCTGAGGCTCATAATGACTTCTTCTCTTGTAACCAGCCTCTCTTTCAGACACCTCGTCTTTACTTTCAGTCCCTACATCATCGAACAGGGAGTCATATCGCTCGTCTTGTTCTTGAGGCTCCGACTGCTCTTCTGGCGATACCTCACCCTCAGTTTTGTTGCGCTCGGTCTTGACGTGGCTCTCACCGGCGTCACCCTCAAATTCTTGAACATCCTCGAGTGCTGCAGCATAGCTCGTTGTAGCAGCAGATCCAACTTCCCTATGATGCCTAGCGTGTTATCTTGCACGGTCTTTCGCATCATTTTGACTTCTTGCAGCAACTGTTCAAGCTTTTGTGACGCTCATAGCGATGACTGCCTTACCTCTTGCAACTCTTGTTGATGTTCTCGCAACTTCTCTTGCACGTCTCTTATCACCTGCTCCATCTATCCATTCCGCCTATCCTGAGCATGCTTTGTCTCCATGCTGCCTCCGAGCACTTCCGTCAGCCCTCTCAAGTTTTCGAGCAGAGGAGGAAAGTGTTTGTTAGCACGGGGGCGAGTCGACTCTTTTCATCTTTGAGGTGGGTTCCGAAGTTCAGGCTCGTTGTCACCGAAGCCTGAAGTTAGCCCGCTAACCGTACTAGTACTGCAGTTAAAAATCAGTACGAGGACAATCAGGGGAGTCGAGGAGGATTATCCGTGTCGATGTTGGGCAGGACTCCTCCGGAGTGACTGAGTGCCGGGCCGGGGCCGGGGCCGGGCACTGAAGTGATAAGGCTTGTAAGCACTACTGGCAGAAAAGATACTACTAGTACCTGACACGGACCTCGAGTACCCGGTGGTCGGTAGGACAGAAAGCAGTATGGTACCTGGGTGGGTCCTCTGGCCCTATTTCCGGACACACAACCGAGATGGCGGCAGGCGAACTGAGACCGAGGTGAGTAAGCCTGAGAGAGGCAATGGCGGACGAGCGAGGAAGAGAGAAGAGACGGGAGGGATGGAGGGAGAGAAGAGACGAGCGAGGAAGAGAGAAGAGACGGGAGGGAAGGAGGGAGAGAAGAGACGAGCGAGGAAGAGAGAAGAGACGGGAGGGAAGGAGGGAGAGAAGAGACGAGCGAGGAAGAGAGAAGAGACGGGAGGGAAGGAGGGAGAGAAGAGACGGGAGGGAAGGAGGGAGAGAAGGGACGGGAGGGAAGGAGGGAGAGAAGGGACGGGAGGGAAGGAGGGAGAGAAGGGACGGGAGGGAAGGAGGGAGAGAAGGGACGGGAGGGAAGGAGGGAGAGAAGGGACGGGAGGGAAGGAGGGAGAGAAGGGACGGGAGGGAAGGAGGGAGAGAAGGGACGGGAGGGAAGGAGGGAGAGAAGGGAAGGAGGCTCGTGGGTTGCCATGCCAAGATCTTGAGGGATACGGTAGATTGGGCTTGAGGAGACGGAGCCTCGGAGGGAGAGGAAAGAGTCGATAGGCTGATGGTTGGACTGCCAGTAGTTGGTCGGCAAGTAGGAGCCTCGGAGAGAGGAGGCAGGGCGCAGGGAAAAGATGGAGAGGAGGACGTTGTTGATAGAGACCAGAGCAATGTTTCATGAAAGCCGAGACGAAAAGCAAGAGGTTGCGTTCGTCACTTATCCCGCCTTTCAGCCCCATTGTCGTTGTCGTCAACTCTGAATCATCTCGGAAGAGGAGAAACTTTCGAATCGCAATATCGGCTGCCACTGGTTTGGCTCTGCTCTGCTTCCTTGCCGTACAGCACTCAGGGCATACCAGCTCTCTTCAGAGGTGCTTGCCGTGCTTTTCATCCGACGCAACTGATTCGTTTACAGCAACGACGCACAGCATGCAGGACAAGCTTCTGCAAGTAGCAAGCAGGTAGGACTTCCAGGCAGGCGTGAAGCAACGGCTGACGTTCCTCCTTCTCCCCCAGCCAAACGTGCATGAGATGCTGTCTAGGAGCAACGCGATCTACGCGCGACAGCAGGGCGTCGCGGGCACCCGAGCCAAGCAGCACCCTGTGAAGAAGCTGGCGGATCAGCTCAAGGACGAGATCAGCGACAACGATGAGGACGTGGCCTACGTCATGCCCGAGCACGTCGAGGAGCGACCGCATAAGTCGGCGAGGGAGATCAGGAAGGAAGAGATCTCCTCCGACGAGCGACACGCAGAGCGAGTGCTGCCCGAGCATGCGGTCGAAGGCAAGCATATGTCAAGAGCAGCGATGCGGCAGCAGGAGATCAGCGAGGACGAGCGCAGAGCTGATGCCGTTCTGCCTGAGGTCTGCATGCTGCTGTGGTACCTGTAGAAGGCTGACTGGGCCCCTCCAGCATAATGTGGAGCGAAAGTTGAGCTTGAAGGAATCTCAGATCGCCAAGAAGGAGGAGGACGACAACCAGAAGTCAGCTGAAGCTGTGAGCTCAAGATCGGGAGCCGCCGCCTTTCCTGCCCGGCATGACTGACGGGCGTTGTTGCAGGTGGTTCTTCGAGGAGGAATGCAAGGGATTTTAGATGCTGAGCGTCTCCAACTCAAGAGGAAAGACGAGAGATTCCATCATCTGGTGGAGCAGGAGAGAGAAGTTCGCACCTCCCCGTATGCTCACTTCCTCCTCACTCGAATCGACTCACTGCTTGCTCAGCCTCCTCGTGGTGGAGCGGAAGCACCCGAAAGTCACCAAGGTTGAGAAGGAGCTGAAGGAGCAGCAGCCCAGGGTACGAGGAGCAAGTGGCGATTGGCCAGTGACTGTGCGAAAGCAGATCTCCAACGTGCCCATGGTGAAGGATGCGTCGCAGAAGCTGCGAGATGCTCAGAGCATCAGGTGCTGTAGAGCAATCGTCTGGTTTCTCAGCTCCTGACGAGAGGGTGGCAGGCTGCCTGCTCGTCAACCTGCTCGTCAACCAGCAGCTGCTCGTGTGCAGCCCAAGACCGAAGGACCGGCGAAGGTGACGGCAACTCAGCCGGCAGCTGACCACGAGGACAAGAGCGCTCGCATTGTAAGCCAGCGCGTGCGAGCAGGAGGAGGGGGGAAGAGGATGGGAGACTTGAGATGTCAGTTGTGACATGTCTGACAGGCGAAGATGCTTCAAGGTGGCCGGAGCTTTGAAAACAAAATTCATGCAAAAGCTTAAGGCATAGGCAGTCACGCCTGGCCGTCACAAAGTAAATCAGAAGAGGAAGAGGCCCAAGGTCGTTAGGGCTTCGGCAGTTTGACTAGCTCGACGAGCACTGAGACGGAGGAGTCTCCTCCTTGTCCTTGAAGAGCGCGAACCTTCCCTGTATTGAGGGTCAGCAACCATGTCGACCTTCGATTCCTGCCAACCTTGTCTCGCGGGAACACCATGGCGTCCTGCCCCAGCACGCGTCACCCCAACCTGCCTCTCCTCCTCCTGTCTCACCTGAGGCCACGGCCATCCCCCGAACTCCGTCTTGCGGTAGTCCATGAAGGCTTGCTGGATCTCCGCCTGCTGCTCTTTCAGCTCCCGTCGACTACCCTCCCTCCCCCTGCCTGCGTGTTCATGACGAAGGGCCCGTGCTGCACCACAGGCTCTCCGATGGGTCGACCCTGCCGCCCCGTCAGCTCTCGCTGCTACGAGGCTGCTGAACCTGTAGGAGAAGAAACTCCGCCTTGCCCGCGTTGGCAGTGTTCTTTTGGAGGTCAGCGGTGCCGCTAGGAAAGCGAGGAAAGGGCAGGAGAGGGAGAGGGAGGGGGAGGGGGAGGGGGAGGGGAGGAGAAGGAGAACGGGGAAGGGAAGGGATATCACTTTACCTTCAAGCTTGCTTCCTTAGATGCATCGAGCATGATTGTGGACTTAGCTGTCACGGACTTGCCGCAAACATCTATGGAGGTTCCTGCGAGAGGGTCAGGGCGAGGAAGAGGAAGAGGTCGCGAGGAAAGAGACAACGAGGAGGGCGAGGGCTCGAGAATTTCTCAGCACTTCTTCTCACGCTCACCTTCCACGAAGTAAAGAGCTCGATTGGCTTCTGACCCTGTGACTTGACGATCAGAAAGCTGAGGGACAGATAGGACGGGGGACCGATCTTAGACGGGGGGATGACGAAGGAGGAGCCTGGCTCGAGTTCTTTCCGCTAGTCAGTCGACACCTGACCTTCTCCCTCCCTCCTTACCGATCAGCCACACTGTCACGTCGTTGGCTGCGTTGGAGGCCCAAGAGTGTTGTGGAGGAGGGAGGCCCCTGGAGGGAGGGAGGAGGCTCAGCGGCTGTTACCGCCAGCTCGCCCCAGCTTACTTCTTGTCCTCGAACTCTCCAGCAAAGACGATAAGATTGACTCCGTCCCTTGTCAACTTTTGGCGCGTCAAGGTCACGTCCCCCCTCCCTCTCTCCCCCCCCCCAACCTTTGGGACTTGCTCGGCCCAGTGCATGACAAAGGCTGGCGGCACCTGCGCGCACTCGCTCACCCCAGCTCCCCCTCTCCACCCTCATACCATCTTGTCCTTGGCCGGCAGGTTCAGCCAGATCTGGAAGAGCCTGGGGCAGTGTGAGCAACGAGCGCCATGGCGGTGTCGACTCTGCTGCTCCTTGACCTCAGGGTGTTGGGCTTGTCCTTGTTCACCAGGGGGAACATTTCTCCATGCACGACTCCCCTTCCTGCTGTCATCCACTGCAAATCTCCTTGTCCTGCTCCAAGGTATCACAGCCTCCCTCCTCCTCCACCCTCGGGCCTACCGTAGCGACCGGCGCATCCCGACGAGTCTGAGTGATCGACGAGGCCCTCAAGAGTTGCCGTCAAGGTCTCGAAGCCGCTGGGGTACGAGGTGAGGTGGAGGAGGAACAGGGAGAGGAGGACGGAGAGGGAGAGGAGGGAGGGGAGGAGGGGGAGGAAGGAGAGGAGGGGGAGGGTGAGGAAGGGAGCGAGACCGATGAGGATGCTGCGGAAAGCCAGGGATGCGATCTCCGTGGTACCTGCAATGAGCATCATCCTCCGAAGCAAGGTCAGACTAACAGTCGGACATGCGATAAGGCTGGTTCCAGTCGAAGTCAGCTCCTGCGACTCTTACTCACGAACATCATGAACAGGAGATTGCATTCTTCACCGTTGCCCATTCTTGGCGCCTGCATCTTCTCGTCTCCTGCTGGATAGTTGTCCTAGACCATCCCCCCGTGAGAGGCGAGGAGGGGAAGAGAGTGAGTGGAGCAGGGGGAGAGAAGGGCAGTGGGAGCAAGATGGGGAAACAGGAGGTCACCTTGTGGTAGACACAGAAGAGAAATGGGTCTGGAGTTTTGAATGGAAACCCGAGAGCAGAAACTGACTTGACCGCGTTTGACATCTGCCCGTGTACTTTACTTCTCAGATCTGCTGCTGCTGCCATACCTTTACGGTGGATGAGGCCTGTCTTGGTCGAAGCTCGAACGCCGCTGCCGATGGCAAGGAGAAGCAGGACGGGCGATGGCACAGGCTGCTCAACAAGCCTCCGGAGAGAAGAAGGAGCGGGCGAATGCTTGCTGTTTGTTGTTGACCGAGATCGTAACTTGCTGATCAACTGTAGTTGACCAAATGTCAAAGACAAAGGAAATTGAGAAAGAAAATCAGAATCGACGCTGATATGCAGTAGATGGAAGTCACATGCGATTTCTTCTGATTACTCCATCACTCAAACTTTCTTTGTTCTTCTTGCTATCTTTTGTTTTCTTTTTCTTTCATCTTCTTCTCATCGCATCCGTTTTTCATATATTCGTGCTCTCTTCAGATGTTTGTCTTTTCATCTGCTTCTCGCCTTCTGCTGCTCTGCTCTGCTCTGCTCTGCTCTGCTCTGCTCTGCTCTGCTCTGCTCTGCTCTGCTCTGCTCTGCTCTGCTCTGCTCTGCTCTTCTTTTATTTTGGTCTGCACTGTTTGGTCGCAACGTTGAGTGCATTTCACACGTATTCGTACCCTCATCCCCACTTATACCCCACCAAAAAAAAAACTTCCACAAACGTTCTCGGAACTTCCTAGTCTTCCTCCTCCTCCTCCTCCACAACCACCC